AAGAAGGAAAAAAATATATGTCAAAACGAATACACGCGCAGGCGCTTGTTCGGTAGACCCCCCTTTTTGTGTTAAATTTTCATTTATTATTATTGATTAAAATATTCAGTTTTCTATGTTTATACCACTGATCTATCACTACTGAGTATGGCTCACCTACTTTCGAGTGAATTGACCAACTCTGTTATAACCCCTTATTTTACTATCCATACTTAAAACAACATTTTAGTGTGGATATCAAACCGTATCAGAAGAGAATCAATGATTACGTGCATACTGAATAGGATTAAGATTTATTAAGTCCAAAGACCCGTTACTTTGGGAAAATGTATGGACCCAAACATACTTCGTCTGACATAGTTTGTTTGATACACATGCAATTGCGTTGATTGATGAAGTACGTTTCACCGTTCTGAGTATTTAAAATATAGATTTCACAAAATACTCAGAAATCAAATAATATGATTGAACAGAATATTATTTAGATGCTGGTACGTCAACCTTTGTTTATTTCGAATACTGATGTACTGTTTTATTGAATAATAATAATAAAAGTATTGACACGTGTTTTGGGGAGGTGGGGTTGAAATTTGCATGTCTTTTAGAATTGATTTTCCTTTTTCAAGGTGGGGAATTGAAAAAAATAAGAGAAATTTAGATGTTTCTTTACACTCCCAGATGAAACAGATGACCAGTCCCGAATAACAAACCTTAGATTATTTTTAACTTTTGAAATGTGGAAACGATTACGTTTAGTTATATACGTATTGATGATCATTCATATCAATATAATAGTAAACTTCAATATCTATGCTATCACCCTTTTCTTGGCCCAAAACTCATTAAAACCCCGTTTGGAACCTCAATTTTCAAAGCAAAGTCTTGGATATTGAATGCACCATTTGCTATTGTTGAATTAATAATGTGAGGAGTTGTATACAGATACAGGTAATATCTTCTTTAAACTACATGCAGACGATGCGAATTACTATGAGGGGGCGGACAGGGGGTACCCTTCTTCTTTCTCTCGTCCCTTCTCTCCTTTCTCCCGCCCCCTTTCTCCTTTCTCCCGCCCCTTTTCTCCTTTCTCCCACCCCCTTTCTCTTGTCTCCCGACCTCAAACATGAAAAACTAATGTATAGAAATCTCGTTTTAATAAAATTCGATCAAATTTGTTGCTTTTTACATCGCGATGACCTTGAGGTCACTCCGATGTATTGCTATCGCCTAGATTTCCATTATGTAAATTAGTTTTGGGTTTGTAACCGATCTATAAACATGATAAATATGCGCACATAAACGAGTGCAAAATAACATTCCTTGTCATTTGATATAAATACATCTCTTCAATGAATACTGATAAAAATATTTTTGTTTACAACATAAATTAATAATGTGAAAATGTTTTGCAGTTAGATATATATATATAAGTAAAAAATCATTGATAATATCAATGCACACGTACCGAAAAATTGTGTTAAAGCATGCGGAAGAATATCTCAAAGAACGTTTTGCGACAGGACCGGTAACTCTGTAATTGTTTTTGCGGGAAAATATGAATGCCTACTCGTATCCAATCTTAGAAAAATCGAATTTTTACAGAAAAGTGTCCACCATGCACTTGCATTGCACTATTATAAGACTGACAGTAGAATAGAATGATATACAAACGGATGCAAATCATATATATATGTAACTGTTATTTTAATATAATATATAACAACAAATCAGTGTATACTGATTTGTATCACTACAATATAATAGTTATTACGGTGAAGTTGAATTTCCTGTCATTTATTCATCATACTCGCACGCACTTGTCTAGAAAAAAATATATCTCTGTACATTAACCTCAGTTTCAGGTAAAGAGATATGTTGTTTTTTTCTGAGACAAGTGCTTTTGACCATCCTCAAGAACTTGTGGTCATCCGATGTTCAGTACTTCAGTACTTTGATTTTTATAGCTAGTCCCTGTCTTGTCCTTTCTTAAGATAGAAGTGTTGTTTCTTCTGCTTCAAGAACCTTAATATTATTTTCACTTACTGTTAAGCTGTCTGTTTGCATTGAATTTGCAACTGAGTTTGATGCACGCCGTTTCCCGATGATTTTGTTTTAAAGTAGAAATCCAAATGCTGCTAAATAAGAAGAAAAAAATATCTGTTATTGGACTGTTTAGAAGAAATTCGATATGATTTCGGAAGTATACCTCATGAGGATAGGCCTACGTATACATGACCATAACCGAAACACCTCGTTTAGTATAAGAAACACGGACCAGATCTGGATTTCTATTCTAAACTGAATACACACACACAATAATTATACTACAAGCATGGAAATGTGAATGTCTTAAAAAATATGAAATAAATTCTGAAAAATGTATTCCACAACAAGAAATATGTATCATATGCTGAGTATACCAGCTCCAAATTACTCTAAATATATGCACATAGAAAATGGAATTAATTACGAAGGATTATAATAAGATATACTGGATTGGTCCTGGACCTGATTGATTTTAATATAGGTTCAATTTGATTTACGCTTCGGTGTACAGGAATGGTTGTATTTTTTTTTGTTTGAGCTAGACATGCTGTACAGGTACAGATGATGAAAAATCACCATTTTATAAAACGGTGAGTCAAAACGATTCATAAATGATTAACAAAGGTGTCTTTTGGGGGAGGGACACATTGCTGACATGACTCCGTGAGCGTCGGAAAAAGTCAGAGGGTATTTACGATCTTTAAAAGAGATTTTATAACAAGTACATATACAAGAATGTATGTTAAATAAAAGTGTTGTAAATGGAGATATGGGAGATTCAATAAGACTGCAACTGGCCAATTAACGACACACAAAAACCAAAGACATCTAGATAACACAGGACAAATGCAGGATAGACGAGAATTTTTATACTGCTAATTTGTAGATTTAGAAAAGATAATTTGGTCCCTTGAATTTGAAAGTTAATAAGCATATTTACTATAGTAAGTATAAAATCTATCAAATGATAACATCACACGTTCACAACATTAGTCATATTAATTTTAATACAAACATAATTATAACTGAGGGTTTATTCAGTTTATTTCTTATTGCTAAGTTTCTAAGATTCAACTTTAAATTATGTACCAGGTGTTAGTATATATACCAAAAGTGCGCATATTGTCAGGATTTTTGTTTGTTTTTTGTTTTAAATGTCAGGTTGCTTAATTTGGCATTTTGATAATATATAAATGCACGCAGAATACATAGCCCTGCTTACTCCTTCTACGACTACATGTACAATATCAAGCTTGGACTTTTATATTGCGCCGAGTGTTTTACTTATATAGAAGGTGCATATATATTCTCAGGATTTTATATTGTATAATTTTTCACGAATGACAGAATGTTGAACTATGTCTTTTCAAGTGAAATTTGGAATACAATTTGTAAGGTACCTTTATATATTATCAAAATGTTAAAATGAGCAAACTCATTAAAAAAAAAATCACACGTTTACACCATACAGTATACTTGATTAAGAATATGTATTTCATCAAGATATTGTTTGTATCTATCATTTTTACAACTAACAGAATGTTTAACCTTTTTTGATGGTTGCATTAAATGTGTCTTTTAAACACAACTATTTCTAATTGTATTGAATCGTCCTAAACATGCATGAAATATTTGACACACGGAAGTTGCGGTGGCATCACCCTTGTCTAATTTGGCTAGTAGGGTTAAGTTGAAGATTTGAATTTCTTTATAAACTAATTATGCACCCGGTTACGACGAAATGTAAGTAACCGGACAGGGGAAATGAAAACAAAATAACAAACACCATTCAGATCCCGTTACATATTCCCATACCTCTCGGTAAAAATAACGTTATTTGATATGCATCTTTAAGCGTCATCCCTTTTCTGTCAAATTCTTTGCATATCGGTCAACTTTGACGCAATTTATCTAAAAAACAGGGATGGTTACATGTTTGTTTCTATAAATGCACGGATTCAGAATACAATCATTGATATTCTGTTAGTTTTAAGTCTTTCTCCGTATATAAGAGATCGTAATGACTGAATAAGTGACGACGCTCCAAGGCGTATTTATGAGGTCGTTTTCATTATGCCTACTATGACATTTATTAGCACTTGCTTCAAGCTTTGTATTATCTAATTTAATAAAATAATCAATTTCCGACTCAATTTTATTATTTTTTATAATCATTTTTGTCTCCCTTATCTTCCCCTTTTCTCCTTTCTCCCGCCCCTTCTCTCCTTTCTCCCGCCCCCTCTCTCCTTTCTCCCTCCCCCTCTCTCCTTTCTCCCTCCCCCTCTCTCCTTTCTCCCACCCCTTCTCTCCCTGTCTCCCTTTACCCTGTCAGTCCCCTCTACTATACTTTAACCGGCGTTTTTGTGTTAAATTTATACATTAATTACATGTATGTATAAAACAGCAGCTCCCTTTTCGTACGATTTGTCAAGTTACGCTTTCGTAAGTTCGTTCGTCAATATCCTGGTCATCTTTATTCGATGATGTCACAATCGAGGAAAAGAGACGGGATTGTGGTTACGATGATTAAAACATTATCCGTGGTCATCTGTGACACAGATATTTCATCACTGTCAACAAACTCGAGATGGCGAACGTAAAACTTTTGAAGGGGTAACTTTAACTGTATGCCGTCAGCACCTACATGTAATTGCCGCCTCAACTAATTATTTAAAAATGCCAAAACTCACCACAGAATCACTCACGAGGTTCCTAACATGGTATAAGAACCTGGACATGTTGTAGTTAACATTGTTTTTTTGTTTGTTATAAATTCATTTTACAAATGTGAATTCAAAGAAAATGAATATAAATATTTATTCCAGTTTGCCTTTATTTTGTAAAGAAAATTAACCTTTAACAAGAATTATTGAAAAAATGTCTTCTTTTTAAGAATGACAAACGATTTTTCAAATGTGTTTAAATCTTTTATTTTTTTTTTCAGCATTATTAACTACACTTCTCCCTCTTTTTTCACTTTCGATGGAAGAAAGATGGAAAAGTCCATTTGGTAACCAAAGTCATCTGATATCAGAAACAATATCAACACTACAGATTGCTTCAAAGATCGCAAATCAAACAAGATTAAATTACGTATGTACAGAAACAACGGCGGAAGACCCAAAAGGGGGCGGGGCGGGCGAGGGTGGGGTTTGGGGGAGGGGGATGAAAGAGGACTTTTAGACTGATAGACTAAAAAAATGTTGGTTTCATTTTGATTTTCAATATTTTTTTGTTTAGCTTGTTACTGTTTGCACTACCTTCAAACTTTTCAGTACACTCCAACGCCACTGAGAAAGATATCATAACTAATAGCAATTGTTTATGAAATATTTGTTTATTTGTTGCAATATTTTGTATCCATTTTTCTTTTCCGAAGTAAAGAATTTAAATATTTTATCCATCATTCCAAACAGAAGCAAATTAAAAGGTAGGGCTAATTTTCCTCTAAATTTATTTCAGGTTAACGGTATAACAGGATCATATGTGTATTTAAAGGCAAACTCCGAAACAGCGGTGACGTTGCTTCGCTAAACTATCACTTAAAATCAACGTAGCGCAGCAAGGAGGACGTTACCACTGTTTCGGAGTTTGATTTAAAGGTTGCAATAATGCCAGGCGTATTTCCGATTTGAATTGGGCACCTTTTATGATTCTCGTGTAGACGAAACGCCCGTTTGGCGTACAAAAGTATCAGCCTGATATATTTGATGATTTGTACCCTCTTCCATAAATTTAGCTGAAAAATGACTAAGTCCCAAAGTCTTAGGGATCTTGGTGGAAAACTTTTATAAGTTTTGATGAAAAATGACAAAGTTTCAAAGTTTGGAAACATGAGAAAAATTTCGCTAACAATTTCATAAAAGCAGGTGCACAACTTCGATAAATGTTCAATCTTTCTGTAAAGTCTTAGGGATCTTGGTGGAAAACTGTAGGAGAGGCTGAAAACTTGTGCTTTCTTTCATAAAATTTGCTGAAAAATGAAAAAGTGCCAAAGTTTGGAAAAATGAGAAAAATTTCTTAAACAATTCCATAATAGCAGGTGCACAACTTCAACATGTATGCAATCTGCTTGTGAAATTTCAGGTATCAGGGTTGAAAACTATAGGAGAGTTAATTACACAAAACTTGTACCCGCTTTCATAAATTTTGCTGAAATGATATTATTTCATTCTGATAAAAAGTCTGGATATTTAAGCTGTATTAGTAAAATGTTATTTGGTCTCATTATGGTGTAATGGAATAACTTTTTGGTGAGATTTTAGATTACGAAAATAGTTAAAGGTCCGTGTAACACTTACCAATTCAAAATTAAAAAAAAAATCAAATTTCAGTCTTTTTGATTTTTATCAAAGTTTTAAAATTAAATATATCAAAATTCCAAACTTTTGATTTTTTGGTAATTTAGAAAATTTCATCAAATGATAAAAATTTTCAAAATCTAAAATTCCTTCCAAAATTTAATACTTTAAATATTTAATCAAACTTTGAAATTTAAAATACTAAACTTAACGTGTAGTTTTGATTATTTCGCTTTTTGAAAGTTTGAATTTTTTTTATTTTTGATTAGAAAATTAAAAAAAAAGTAAAAACTTTCTTTAAAAATCAACAAACTTAAATATGAAAACTTCAAAAAATTTGGAATTGTTTAGACTAGTTTTACACGCGCCGTTAAATAAATTGTGTGTGTTGTGTAAAGACAGAACGAACTTGCAGTCCTGGAGCAGTTGTGCGCAATGTTGATTTTCTTCATGCCCCTTCTTAAACCTTAAAATTTCATTATCTTACTCTATCTAATATACTTAGTGTTTAACATAAGCAAGCGATTCCTGAATTTCCAACAGAGCTTGCAAAACCGAAAATTCCGAAAATGTTTACTAGCAATTCTACAAAAGGAGGGAGTACCAGTCCTATTAATTTTTTACGGAACTGAAAACATCTTTTTTAAACAGTTATGTTGTATTAAAAAAATCTGTGAAAGTAAAGCACTGTTTTGGGTTTTTTTCGTATTTTTTTTTCTGGACTTGTCTAAATTAAACGGAATAAGATCAAGTTTTGAGAAAGTTTAACGCGCGAGATAATTTGGAAATGAAGTGAGGTTCAATTTATTTTTGTGCACAAAAACTGCCCAAAGATTGTTATATTGTATTTTTTGTAATTAAAAGTAATTGTAGCCTTTTACATAATACTTGACTAACAACGAAAATTGCATCGGAATAGATGACTCAAGACGTCCCTTGAAAAAACTCAGGAATTCCAAAACATCGAGAACAATACAACAGACCAGACCAAGCACAAACATCTGATTTAAATGCGCGCGCATAGCCTTGGAAAAATCCAGAGTTATTACAAAATACTTAGGATATTCTTTACTACATGAGGGTCTTGGTTGGGTTTACAGAATAGAGAATAATGGCCACACAAAGTGCAGAATAAAGGGCAAAAAATATAAAGAATAGAGAAAAATATACCAAAAAATAAAGAATAGAGAATAATGGGGTGCTGAAATATAGGGAATAGAAGAAAATGGGCAAAAAAAAAAGGATAGAGAAAAATAGCCCTAAAGAATACAGAATACAGAAATAATGTATGACATTGTACTACCAGGTATATACATGTATATCTATTCTTATGTATGACATTGTACTATTTTTATTAATTGTTTAACATATTTTTCATGCATACAAATCATCTGCTGTCTTTTGTTGTTTTCAATATTTGTGGTTTTCTGCGAATACGTTATAAGAGGGTCTTGGTGGGTTTTACATCATAGAGATTTATGCGCAAAAAAACGCAGAATAAAGCATATAGATAGAGAATAATATAAATAGAGAATAATGGGGTGTTTAAATATAAAGATGATAGAAAAAATATAATGGGCAAAATATTTTAAAAATAGAGAAAAATGGAATGAAAATTACAAAATAAAGAAATATAGGAATCTCCATCCAGACCCTCTAGTAACAAAATGCGATATCAAAATCACTTTTCATTCTATTTTTAATAGGGAGGAGTTATGATACAATCCACACGAGTGCTACAGTACATCAACAATACAACATTCCCTGCTTTAAAGGCAGACTTTACATATATGAATATTTCACACGTCATCCAAAATGTAAGTTCATAGTAACTTTTTTGTATTTGTGTGAGTGTGTGTGGTTTTTTTTTTCTTCTTTTTTGTTTATTTTTTCTTCTTTTTTGTCAAACATGATGCTGCGTTTGCTGTTCGAATGGTTTTGAGAGCATACTTTTGTGAGTTTGTATTTGAGAGTGAAATTTTGTGAGTTTGTGTTAAAGAGTTATGAGCCGGGGAGAGGGGGTAGTCGTATATGGTCAATTGAATTATCCTGTCGTATTGTTATTGTCTCCTTGTTAATTTTTTTTTCAGTGCATTTTTTTTCAATTATCAATATAAATGTATATATATAATGGTAGCGTTCCAATGTCAAATGTGAAAACAGGATTCCGACATGTATTTCAAATGTGAAGATAGCATTCCTATGTCAAATGTGAAGTTGGTATTCCCATGTAAAATGTGAAGTTAGAATTCTATACTAAATTTGAAGGTAGCAGTCGATCCCCTGTCAAATGTGAAGGTAGCATTCCCATCTCAAATGTGTATTTAGCATTTCATGTCAAATGTGAAGGTAGCATGTCATATCAAATGTGTATGTAGCATTTCATGTCAAATGTGAAAGTAGCATGTCATTTCAAATGTACCGGTATATGTAACATTTTATGTCAGATGGGAAGGTACTAGCATGTCATGTCAAATGAGAAGGTATCATTCCCATGTTAAATGTAAACGTGGCGTTCCGTGGCAAATGTGATAGCATTGCATGTCAAATGTGAAGGTATCATTCCGATTTTAAATGTGAAGGTAGCGTTACATGTCAAATGTGATAGTATTATCATGTTAAATGTGAAGGTATCATTCCTATGTTAAATGTGAAGGCAGCGTTCTATGTCAAATGTGATAGTATTATCATGTCAAATGTGAAGGTATCATTCCCATGTTAAATGTGAAGGTAGCGTTCCATGTCAAATGTGATAGTAATATCATGTCAAATGTGAAGGTATCATTCCCATGTTAAATGTGAAGGTAGCGTTCCATGTCAAATGTGATAGTATTATCATGTCGAATGTGAAGGTATCATTCCCATGTTAAATGTGAAGGGAGGATTCCATGTCAATAATGTCAAATGTGAAGGTATCTTTCCCATGTTAAATGTGAAGGTAGCGTTCCATGTCAAATATGAAGGTAATTTTGTCAGATGGTTGACGTTAGACACGTGGGGTCTTTACTTACTCCACGGTTGTTTATGTGAAATTAAAATCTTTAGACTTATATACTATTTAAGTAGCATTATTTGTCTGCTTTTAATACTCTATACTTGTTTTGTTTTTAGATATGTTATTTGTATTATTGTTACATATTTTTCAGGTCACGTGGTTGCACTTGGAGTCTTATACTAAGTTATCGTCTGCAGTGATTTTTCTGGAACAATTAGTTCATGACGAGACAGTTTTAAGTAAACAGGAAGAAATGGTTTTCATTACAGAGTTTACTAAAGTTGAAGAACAAATATACAAAGTTCTTCGTAAAATACAATTAGCTGTTAATCAGCTCGGCAAAGTAATTCAGACGTATCAGTCACGTGATATTATGCCATATTATTTGCGTCATCTTTGTAATAATACAAATTACATGCACCATAGAAATTATATAACTGTTAATAACATTTGGATTTTAATTCAGAGAATTCAAATTGTTTATGAAGAGGTTCGACAACTGTTATAACGAATTGTCATAGATGAGGGTCTGGATGGGAGACCTTAATTATTTCTGTATTCTTTAAATTTTATGTCATTTTTCTCTATTCTTTATTTTTTAACAATTATTCTCTATTACTTATATTTTAACACCCCATTATTTTCTATTCGATATATTTTTTGCCTATTTTTCTCTATTCATTATTTTCCTGGATCATTTTTCTGTAGTATTAGTCCATTATTTTCTATTCTGTAAACCCCAATCCAGACCTTCATAGGAAGGGATGATCTAATTATCATTATTAATCTGATAACATTATTTAAATCTGAATATTATGCGTAAACTATATTAATCAGATCACGTTTTTTTTTCATTTCGTGTGTCCATAAACTATTCTAATTTGTTAATTTAAAAAAAAAAATCTTGTAAAGGAGCACATATGATAAGATCTATTTATTGGATTCTTAAATTTCAGTAATAATAACATTCTTCAATTCTTTGTAAATTATGTTAATTTCATTCGAACAATAAATGCATACGAGGAAATAACCTGATCACATAAAATTATTGAACTGCCATTTGTTACTGTGACTTCATAAACGTATGCACGTCATCACTGGCATATTGGACGATTTTTTTTTCTATTTTCCCTATATATTTTTGATACAATTGAATACGAGTAACATCCTTATTCATCATCTGTATGTGTATAAGGCATCGTTTAGCAAATCACCCTTGGTGGTCTCGTGGTAGTGTGTTCGCCTCGAGTGCGGGAGGTCGTGGGTTCGAACACCGGCCAGGTCAAACCAAAGACTTTAAAATTGTTATTTACTGCTTCTCCGCTTAGCACGCGGCATTAAGGAGTAAGAGCAAAGACTGGTCGGCTCGGAGTTAAAATAATGTGTCCGGTAAGATGAAATGTCTTCCTGTGGACTGTTACCGTGTGAACTAGCACGTTAATAATCCGGCTCAGTGTGTCTGTCTACTACAAAGCAGGGTTTATATTTATATTATGGAACGCCAAAACTGTCTTGTTATGACTATTTTCATTATATGATGTGCATTTACCTTTATATGATGTGCACTTGTCATTATATGATGTGCAAACACCTGTATATGATGTGCAAATATCGTTATGTTATGAGCAAGTAACCTTACATGTATATGATGTCCAAACATCCTTATATGATGTGCAAATATACTTATATGATGTGCATATATACTTATATGATGTGCAAATGTACTTATGTGATGTGCAAACGTTCTTATATGATGTGCAAACATTCTTATATGATTTGTAAATACCCTTATATGATGTGCAAATGTACTTATTAATGTGCAAATGTATTTAAATGATGTGCAAAGATCCTTATATGATGTGCAAATATACTTATAGTATGTGCAAATATCCTAATATGATGTGCATTTTCCCTTATATTATGTACAAACATCTTTATATGATGTGGTTGTGTCATTATATTATGTGCATGTAACCTTATGTGATGTGGTTCGGTTTACTTCATTATATGATGTGCTTTCATCGTCGTTATGGTCAATGAACATGATTACGATTAGAACGATTACTGTCTACGTCATAACTGATTCCGATCTTCTTCTGCGGAATTAATATAAGCGCAGCTCAAATCTGTAGCTATCATTTGGAAAATGGTTAAGATTTAAAAAGAGATAAACCTTGTCATGTTGGTACCACGTTTTAAGATGAAAAAAATCACATCAGATATTGTTGGAAAATTGTCAAAATATGAATTGCAAAGTTTAGTTTTAATCGATGGGTTTACAATAATGAACATACGTGGTCTACAATAATGAAAATACGGTTAAAGTTATTAAATTAAAGAAATGATTCTTTTATGCCATGCTCTATGCTCATTTTAACAAGGGTAGGCATTATATTTGTCAATATTTTTATACCTAGCGTTAGCGGTTTTTTTTTTGTAAGAAGTTAAGGTTCATCATAACAAATGGACAAATATGGCTGTATCTACATGCCAAAAACTACTCTTAGTACAGTCAGACTTACCTGTCCAGTTGGAAAAGTTTTAATGTCTGGCATCCACTAGATATATAAAAGTTTGCATTTTGTGTTTCAGAAAGATAAAATCTCTTTTGGATTTTGATGGTTTTTTTTCCTTCATGCAGAAGGTGTAAACATTAACTAAGTTTTGATACAACTTTGAAATGCTCCCTCTCAGGTAAAAACTGTATTGTATTGATTGTCCTTGATTGACGTGGACAACAGGTATCTACACAACTATAAGTGAGTTGAAGGGTTTAACTGAGTGGAAAGTAATTCAGGTGTTTGTTTATTTTTACACCTTCTGCAGAAAGGAAAAAAAATGTCCATCAAAAACCAAAAAAGATTATATCTTTCCGAAACACAAAATGCATTTAACTTTTATATATCTAGTGAATGCCAGGCCTTAAAACTTTTCCAACTGGACAGGTAAGTCTGTACTAAGAGTAGTTTTTGATGTGTAAATACAGCCATATTTGTCCGTTTGTAAATTTTGCCTTGCTGATCATTTTAGCTGTTCAAGTTTCTCTTTATATATTACTTTTTTTAAGATAGACACAAAAATGGACAAAAATCGGACATTGATAGGGTAATGTTTCCTATAATGTACCGGTCATTTGCAACCCCACAAAGGGGGGGGGGGGGGGGGGGGGTAGGAAGAAATTAAAGGAGCCTTTAATTTTATTTTTATTATTTGGAATAGAAAGGTGGTATTCAATTATTCATAGTTATTGATTTGTCAATGTATAATGTTATGGCGATGTGTTCGTCGTTTTGTTGCCAATAACTGTTTAGGAATTAGGGGCCAAAACAGGACCAAAACAAGCAATTCTTAGGGTTGTTTGATATGCTGAATCTAACAATATATTTAGATTTTGGATATTGGACCATATTATAGATAAATGTCCAATTTCAACTTTTTAAAATCTTAGACCACATTCATTATGTGTCACAAACCTATGATGTGTCAGATATTTAATCATATCAAAAGTCAGAGCTGTATCAAGCTTGAATGGTGTGTCCATACTTGCCCTAACTGTTCAGGGTTCGACCCTCATCGTACACTCCTCCCTACAGTAAAAAATAACAGTTTTGACTCGAAAGACATCAATTTTTACGCCTCGGTCCGCTCACCTCAACTGTTAAAACCTAAATCCTTATTTTCAACAATTTCTTCTAGCAGAGTATTTTTCCTCTGAAGCTAATATTGAATGAAGGTGTGGTAAATATCAATGAGACCATAACCGGCATATCCAAATTAAGTTCCCTGTCGCAAACAACTTCCACACTTGAAGTTCTAGATCCACTTTTGACGCAATATTTTAAACTTATAATGCAATAAAAATTTAATGAGTTTTTATTTTATTACGAACAAAAGTATTGAGAAATTCGTGTGTGTATTTGTGTATGATTGTGCGCTGGTGGCTTTTTTTTTATTTGGGGGGAGGGGCGTGAAATGTTTATGTCTTTGGAAAGGGGGTCTTGATTGATTTTCATATTTCAAGGAGTAGACTTGAAAAAATAAGAGAAATTCCCATGTTTCCTCCCACGTCCCCACACCAAATAAAAGAAAATGACCGTAATTATAATTTATTTATTTTTAAATCTGTTCTTGTCTATGCCATTTTGCAAAGAACAGGTTTCTCTACAGGTAAGTTATCAAGATAATAGGCAATAAAACAACAAACTAATAAGAGCCAGAATTGCCGAAATGGGACCTTTACTATAGAATATAGTCAGACATATTGCACTATTTGTTGTTTTTTTTTTAAATCAAATGTAGTTTTCAAGATAAAAGCAAAATATTAAAAGCCACCGCCGTAAATCTTCACTTAAACACAACTCTCTGTATGTAAGAGACCAACAGGCCTCAGTAATTAATAACATGAATAAATAAAGGCAGTTTTTTATGTTCATTTAGACACCAATCTAATTAAATTACAGACATTGTGTGTCCAAGCTTTGCTTATGAGGATCTGAAAACGCTCCATTCTATTTTCTGTTTAAAGACCATTGGGATTCTCTGGTTTTGTCGGATTGATAAAAAATGTGAAGGCTGAAATTTCATTGGCTGATGTAATATTTACCAAAACAGAAAGTAAAATGAAGTGTTGTCAGATCCTCGTAACCAAAACCAGATCATCTGTACATTGTATCTTAATCAGATTGCTTAGGCACCGACTCTTCATCTAGTGTGTGCAGGAGCACGTGTATTTCCTTGTGCTCAGGACAAACATATTTTTCGACATTAATAAGAAATTAACCTTTTTTTCCAATAACATTGTTATTTTTTTTTTTTTTTTTTAATTTCATCATTGTTTTATTTTTTCCCTCATTTTCAATGGAAACAAATTATTTTGCTTCCCTTCTGAAATAGATAAAATCTCTTTCAAGAAATTTGGAATCAAACATTTACAAAAAAACATGCACCCCACTCACCAAAAAAAAACAATGGTCGTACGTAACGTTAGCCCTGTTTACTTGAGTCTGGAGGTGTATATATGAGTCGCTTTCCACGAAACCTTTTATATTTAAGGAATGACTGTAATATTTTTTCTGTCTATGAAGAAATAACATCAAAAATGTGGTGCACACTGAATAACCCGCGTAGCTGGTTATTTTAAAGTGTGCACCACATTTTTTATGTTATTTCGAATAGACAGAAAAAATATTACAGTCATTTCTTATAATTTAATTCTAAATTCCATTTTAAACCAGAGTAAACCATGAAAAAACGTTGAAGACGTCACGGTCACATGACAAAATTATGTCTATGAGCTGATAAACAAAACAACGTCAGCCAATCAGAAGACGCGTTACAGCCAAAATTAAATTATTACGGGTTACTGTCTAGTGGAGGTGCTTTCATGGTAGCATGTTCGCCTCGAATGCTGGAGGACGTGGGTTCGAACCCCGGTTCAAAACCAAAGACTTTAAAAATGATATTTGCTGCTTCCCTGCTAAGCACGCGAAATTAAGGAGTAAAAGCAAAGACTGGTCGGCTCGGAATCAGAATAATGTGTCTGGGTAAGGTGACATGTATTCATGTGAACTAGCATGTTAAAAATCCGGCTCAGGGTGTCGGTCTAGTATAAAGCAGGGTTAATATTCATATCACATTAACATGTTCTCGCACGAATATGCATATCAATTTGACGTCAAGCATCCATCCATAATCATCTAGTTGATTGATTGATTGTTGGTTGCTTAACGTCTCATCTAGTTGAAGCTGTGAAATAAATGCATGAAAACATAACAAAAAGCTGCACGCAAATGTAATGCACCAAGTTTAAGTTCATCCCATATCTTCTTAAACCTATTTTTTTTTGGGGGGGGGGTGGGGGGGGGGGGGGGGGGGGAGGTGGCCGAGTGGTCTAAGTAGTCGAACTACTGTATCACTAGCCTGTCAACACTTAGGTTGTGAGTTCGAATCCCGCACGTGGCAGGTAAGCTCGACTCCAATCTTAATTGACTAGAATTGTTAGTTTTCCTACCGTAGGTCGGTGGTTCTCTCCGGGAACTTCGGCTTCCTCCACCAATAAAAATCACCGTCACGAAATAGCATGATAGTGTTGAAAGTGGCGTTAAACACCAATCAATCAACAAATTAATCAATCAGTCAATCATCCATACCGGTATAATTATGCAAGAGTAGATGATTCTGTAGCTATCGTTATGAAATATTTTTAAAACTGACTTTGAGTTCATTGGTGTCTTTTGCAATGAATAGAAAAGAGAAGATGTGGTATGAGTGCCAATGAGACAACTCTACATCCAAGTCACAATGTGTAAAAAGTAAACAATTATAGGTCAAAGTACGGCCTTCCACGCGGAGTCTTTGCTCAAACCGAACAGCAAGCTATAAAGGGCCCCAAAATATTTTCGCCGCAGCCGGGAAATTCTTCAACTAGCTCCTGTATTAATTGATCTTAATCTTCCTCCGAGATGTTTGAAACGTTGATTTTTGTTAAATTGCACTGTCTCACTTTTTCTTTAAAACGCACTTTCGTTAGCGATAGCTACAGATTTGAGCCGGCATTATAGTTACTCCGCAGAGGCAGATCGGAACTAGTTATGACGTAGACAGTAATCATTCTAATCGTAATCATGTTCATTGACTATAACGACGATGAAAGCACATCATATAATGGCGTTTCGACATCATATAACGAAGTAAACCGAACCACATAATATAAGATTACAAGCACATAATATAATGACACAACCACATCATATGAAGATGTTTGCACATAATATAAGGGAAAATGCACATCATACAAGGATATTTGCACATGATATAAGTATTTTTGCACATCATATAAGGATCTTTCACGTCATACAAATTGTATAAGTACATTTGCACATCATATAAGTATATTTGCACATCATATAAGGATATTTGCACATCATATAAGAATGTTTATACATAATAATAATGTTTGCACATCATATAGGTATATAAGGTTGT